TTACTTCAGTAAATTTCTGTCCCCAAGCAGTACCAATCAGGTGATCCAATTAATTAAGACTTAAGATTCTGAACAAATCTGTAATTGGTCACCTTATAGATTCTTACACTAATCACCTCTTAGTGAAAAGGCCAAGACCAAGTGTAGGTTCTTATACCTGGCTTCCGGGTATCTGTGAACCCTCTACAATTTAAGGAAAAATTTTCTATGTAAAGTTTGTGGAAGAGAAGGAATGTAAATTTGTAACAAATTTCAAAGGCTCTGTGATGAAATAACAGGGTAGGAACTACTCGTTTTCTTAACTGGAATGTGAAAATGAATTCTAAGTGCACTTTGCTTTTTAAGATATATAATAATAGCTAAGTGAGTTTTTCTTTTCTCCCTCAAACTTCAAAATATTTCTTAAAGGTTTTTTTTAAATGGACACAGCATTCAACAAGCAATATTTATGCCAGAAGATTAAAATCAAAACTTAAATATACTATAGCAATCATTATTTCAACTTGGGTGTGTTTAATCCACTGATTAGTCTAAAAGTCTAATTATAACTTTAGATGGTGGAATCCTCTGTCTTCCTTCAGTCAACAGTTTAGAACAATTAATTAAAACTTGGGAGTTAAAATGGGAATAGAAATATTTTTAAAATGTGGCTTGGGTATGGTGATGCACACCTGTAATCCCAGGACTTGAGAGACTGAGGCAAGAGGATCACCAGATCAAGGCCAATCTGGGCTCCACAGTAAGATCCTTTCTCTAAAAATAAAATGAAAAAAATGTGAAAATGACTTTTTCTAAGTGATGGGAGCCAGGGTTTAACAAATGAAAACCTCAGTTATGTTATTTGTATACATGGGAACACTAAACCTGGACTTTGGTTTTGGTTTTCAAACTATTGGGAACAGAGCCCAGAAGGTCTGCAACCTTGTAGGCCCTCAGATATGATAGTTCTGACCCCCAATATTCAAAGCTTAAGTGAAACTGGCTTCTCTTCTTGGAATTGGATGAAGGGAGCAGGGAAGACTGTTTCCAACACTCCCTCTCTCTACAACAGAGTTTTTAGACTTGGCTGAACATTTGAATTACCTAGGGAGCTTTGAAAAAAAAAAAATCTCAATTCCCAGACCACACCCAGACCGATTAAATCAGAATGTCTGGGAAGTTCGGGGCATTGGTTTTTCATATGGTGTCCTGGGTGCTCCAATGTGCAGCCAAGGCTGAGAGCCATGACTCACGCAATGTGTAAAGAAGTGTTTTAACATCAAATTTATAGCAGACTCACACTTTGTTTCAGAATGTGTTAAAGGCCACCCAAATGTCCTGTTCGCACAGTAGATGATTACCTGCACCTCTTTATTTGGATAGAGTTAGTAAAAACAAAAGGAGGCTAAATGCAACTGAGTCCTGGAACAGAAAAAGACATTCATGGGAAAACTGGTCAAGTCTGTGGTTTATTAATTTACTACCCATGTTGATTTGTTAGTTTTGATAAATGTGACTGGTTTGTCAGATGCTGACATTTGGGGAAGTCAGTAAAGATAGAACTCTGTTCTATCTTTAAAACTATTCTGGGTTTTAAATTGAAATTTCAAAATAAAAAGTATTTCAAAATAAAAGTATTTGTCAAATACTTTTAATTTTTTTCTTTATTCACTTATTCACATGTGCATACATTGTAAAAAAATAAATAAAAGTATTAACAGTTAAATAAAAAAAGAAGGTAAGCTAGTATTAGGGGTGCACAATATGATTCCTAACAGTATTCAGTGTTTTGGGGATAAAGTCTTGCACTGTGAACTTAAAGAGTACAAGTTGTGGGGAAACAAGAGCTTAGGGAAACTTCCAATTTCCCTGTCTGCATTCCATTTTATCTATCTTTTCTCAGGCCCCATCTAGATCCCACAAAACGTCACCAACAACATTTAATTAATTAATTTGTTTATTTTTTATTAGGACTGGGGTTTGAACTCAGTACTCCTCACTCACAAAGCAGGTGCTCTTCTGCTTGAGCCACACCTCCAGCCCATTTTGCTCTGGTTATTTTGGAGATGGGATCTCATAAAATATGTGCCCAGACTGGTCTTGAACCTTGATCCTCCTGATCTCAGCCACTCAAGTAGCTAGGATTACAGGTGTGAGCCACTGGTATCCAGCATCAGCAGCACTTAATACTGAAAGGATCACAGATAATATATTACCTAAGAGTCATGTATTCTATCAGAAGTTCTACTCTGATGCTGCTGGTAATAATATTTGCACTTGTACAGTATTTTACATCTTGCAAGCACCTTCCAAGAGTTAATCTAGCTTGGTTTGCATTAGGAAATACATGTGGTATACCACAGACTGTCACAAAAGACAAAGCTTCTCTTGCATTTTTAAACAATAAAACAGAGTGTAGCATGTCCATAAATTCTGACCCCCCCCCACCTCATGGGGAAAACACAGTTATTAAAAGCTCTTGTGTAGGGCTGGGGATGTAGCTCAGTGGTAGAGTGCTTGCCTAGCATGCAGGAGACCCTGGGTTCAATTCACAGCACCACCCCCAAAATCCCATGTTAGTGTCATATGGCATGCAGAGGGAGGGGGAGGGGACATATTCTAAGGCCAGCACTTCCTGATATACAAATCACTAGCCCACAGCAGGTCACACCACAGGCACAATTTTGTGAGGCCAGCTTTCCTGGTTGTCCTTTCCAAACAGGAAAAGGAGAAAAGTTCTGGTTACCAAAGAGGTACCAGTGATATGTGTTGGCCCAGCCACTGTCAGGACATAATGACTGGCTGTGAGTCATAGCTGTCCTATACCAGGTTGGTTCTGTCTCCTTGGAGACACTCGTTGTTAATTTCCTTTGAGCCTCTGATACTTACCCTTCTTCCCCAGTGCATTGGCCACGCCTACCAAGTCTGTTCAGGAACCATTGGCCGGCTCCATCTCTTTTCCCCAGATCTCTGCTGGCTGATGCCATTCCTACCATGGCTGGAGCAATCTCCCACCCAGATTCAGGGGGGAATGACAGAGGGGCTGCACGGTTTCCTCACCACAGCAGAAGGATGGTTCCTATCTTCTGCCAACTCCACCGCTAGAGGGATTGTAATGCTTTTCTCCAGCCTGACCTACACACACACACACACACACACACACACACACACACACACACGCAGGCACACAGAGTCTGTCCAGGTCGGCAAAGGGACCAGAAGAACTCAACCCCAGAGCATACAGGCTGAGTGGGACAGTGGATTGGACTTAGTGGTGTGCACCTCCCATCTGTATGTGTGGCTTTGGTGCCATCGCCTCCCCTGGTTGAAGACTGACTTCGGACATCTGATTGATTGCTTCTGACCAGTGCTATGGGGCACTGGTCAGAAGTGAAATACTCAGCTCACAGACTTCTTCCTCTTTTGTCCCGGATAACACGCACGCTCTTTGATTCTTGTTGACTCAAAAGGGAAGTCTAATTGGGACTCTGCTAGAGTTCATGGACACTTGGAGTTCAGTGAATTTACTTGGGAATCCGGAACAATGGAGATATGATGAATCGAAACTTATGCTTTCCTTCTAATCAGTGAAAACAGCATGAAGAGCAATTAAGGGGTTTACGGTGATTTCCAAGAGAAAAGGCAGAAAACATTTGCACTTGGGAAAGTAATTGTTCTAGATGTGCAGTTGTTTAAAAGCATTTTGTTTTTATTACCAACTGGTTACTTTTGGGCACAAGCCTTTTAACAGCTGTGCTTACTTAGACCGACCTGCAGGGGGCGACTCTTGTAGTCTGAGGGTTGGCCTTCCTGTCTGACTCCTGCCTCAGCTCCCTATGGTGGGAGTTCCAGCACCAGGGGGCTGATCTTGAAGATGTGGCTTTGCTCCTGCTACCTGCTTAACACAGCTCTGTCCCAAATGTCACTAATTTATAGGGTGACAATACATTCGATTTTACTTACTATAGTTCCAATGTACTTCCCTTTCATTCTCAGTGTCTCCATTTGGACACAAACTCATAATAAGTCATGGCCCTCCTGTCTATTCCCAGCTGGGCAAGGTGAAGTGTATCCATATATACAAACACAGATGGTTACTCTCCCACTGACCAATATGGATGCCACCTGTCCTTGCTTCAGCAAGGGTGCCACCAGGTTTCTGGGGCCTGGGCTGCACTGTCCTGCCCAGCCTCTAAGCTCACCCTAAGGTTTAGGAAGTCATCCTAACTCTACGGATTTGGAGAAGTGTGAGTGCATACACAGCAAGGAAAGAGAATCATGAAACGCTTTCTTAGAATAGTTTATCTTTTCCTTTTCCAGTGCTGGGGATAGAGCACAGGGCCACATGCATGCAAGGCAAGCGCTTTACCACTGAGGTACATCCTTAGCTCTTAGCTTATTCTCGTCTAAGAATTTGGGCAGATTATTCACTATTCCCTTTTGATAACAATACATTAAGAAAACTGACATTTTATTAAAGTTATTCCTTGCATTGCAAAACACTACTTTATAAAATGGAAGACTGTTGAAATATACTTTTCATTAGATGAGTGATACGAAGTTTTGAATTTTTTGATTCTCTCTTGATTTTAGCTTAGACATTGAAATGGCCCAGATAACTTTTCAGTTTTGAAATTATCATCAAATTCACTTCCTGTTATTGTTATTCCAATACCAGAGAGAAATGTTTAATTTCCAGAAGTTTTCATTTAACTTTAATGAGAACCAAACCCATGAAGATCTTCTTTTTAAAAACAATAAGCATTTTGGTCTGAACATGAACCTGCTTGATTATGAGTTTACCTAATAGTTTCATAATATCAGCATCATCCTAATTATATCCTTTGGATGTTCCAGGCATGACTACAAGTCTTTTGAAATTGGGATGGTGAACTTGGACTGACCCCCATCCCACGGGACCCAAGTGGCCCGCAGCAGATGTCACTGCTCACAGCTGACACAGCTTAATGTCGGGCTCTGCCCTTCAGCTTTGGGCTCCCCAGGCTCCGGGTAGCACTTACGTCTCATCTGTGAATGCTATCCCAAAGTATTCCTTCTCCTTCAGGTTGAAGTGAGACGCCACAAGGTCGAGAAGCTCCTTGGCCAAAAGCTTGGGCTGGAGGAAGAATACAAAAGGACAAAGGAGTAAGGACCAGAGATGACTTCTCCCAAAAGGTACAATCTCAGTTTCTATCATTTATGGAATGTCTCAAAACTCAAGCCCTGTACATAAATGCAAATGATTTTTAGAAAATCCAGAGGAAGAGACCACCAGCCTGCCACTGAGCAAACAGCCAAGTGAAAGGTCACAGTCAACAGATGGACCTGTTTCTTGATTCCTAGTAGCTTTGTTCTATCAGCAAATCGTGCTCAGTCTTTGGCAGGGCTGTCAAATCAGGTTAACTTCCTCCCCACACATTTTATGGTGTATTGACAGGAAAATGCCTTATTTCTTTTTTTAAAATTCATGTTTCTATTAATATATTTAACTTTTAATACAGCTAATGCATATTTAATATATTTATATATTTAATTTGTTTAACTTTGTTTTAACAGATGCTCCTATACTTATGGTGAAGTTACTTTCCAATAAACCCATCATAAGTTGAAAATATCATTAAGTCAAAAGTGCATTTAATACACCTTACCTACAAACATCAGAGGTTAGCAACTCAGTACACTGTTTCCAGTCTTCATGTGGCTGACTGGGGACTACAGCTCACTGGTCCCACCCAGCATTCTGAGAGAGGATTGAGCCACACGTATCACTGGCTCAGGGAAAAGATCCAAACTCAAAGCATGATTTCCACTGAATGCTTATTGCTTTTGCACCATTCTGAAGTCTCCCAAATCTTACATCAATCCAGGGAAAGTCAGGGACCGTCTGCATTTGCTGCAGGTACTGTTCCAAGCACTTTACAAACTCCAGTCCTTTTTTTTTTTGAGCTTTATTTTGAGACAGAGCCTTGCTATGTAGCTCAGGCTGGCCATGAACTCATGATCCTCCTGCCGTAGCCTCTCAAGTGCTGGGACTTTAGGAGGGCATCACCTTGCCCCATTAACACCTTTCATTCTTATCCCAGCCCTTCTATCGCTGTCCAGGGAGGAGCATGGATCTGAAGCTATTGCGGCACTTCCTCCCAGAAGACGGAAATGAATGGGAGAACTGCCCTGATCAACCAACACTACCTCATCTCTTGTACTTTCACTCCCACTACCCTTGGGAAAAGTGAAGAAGCAAACTCTGAGCCAACAGGAAATTCAGAATTTTACCTTAGACCCTCCTTCATTAGTGGAAGAAATTCTACCCCTGGGAATGCAGTGGGATATCCATGGTGCAACTCAGAGTACCAGTCACACCTTATGAAGGAGAGTGCATGATGGGAGCTCTTGAAGCTTCGAGCAAATGCTGCTCATTCTGAGCTGCTACAGGCTCTGCTGCCAATGTCCTCCAGAAAGTGTTGGGGTGCTCAGTTTCAAAGCATTTAGTGTATCAGGTATGACTATGAGGCCAGTTGGTTGCTTTTAAAATTCATTGTGCTATAATTTATCTGTCTAAATGATTGCCATTCCTTTCAAGATGGTCACAGTATTTCTATGATGCTTGTTATTTCTTAAAACATTTTGAGCCTGGCATAGCAATGCACGTCTGTAATCCCAGTGCTCAGTCTTGGTAGCTTAAGGCAGGAAGATTGCAAGTTCCAGGCCAGCCCAGGCTATACAGTGAAACTCTGTCTCCAAAAAAAATTGTTTTAGATAATCTCTTGGATTTGCCTTTGAAACTTGTGTCAGATTTAACATCCTCACTGGTGATAAATCTTCTTGTATTCAGAGTGGATCTGGTTTTTTGAAAATGTCAAAAGTCACCTGAAGTCAAGTCTAGTGAATAGAATAGAGGAGGAAGACTGGATGGTTTCTCTGGGTCAACCTGAATTATAAAATGAGATGTGACTATAAAGTACTTATTGTGGATTCTTGTGGATTATGGTGGCAAACCCAGCTCAAATTTGGCAATGACAGAAAGAGTTCTTTTTCTTTGGGAGTTAAACTTTAAACTTTAAAGCCACCATCTTAGTGGGCTTGATCAGAGATACATACATTTTACCCAGGAGGAGAAACAATTACTCCCAGGGCTGGTATAATTTATCTACCACATGAACCAATGTAGTTGCTATTCCTAGAACGGGTGTAGGCGAATGGAAGGTACTGTGTAGGAGAGGGGACAGGGATAATTTGGGGAGGCAGTGGAGATGAGATAGGAACTGTGACCTTGGTCAACAGGCATTGAGTACTTGGGCCCTTACTAAGTACAGGCCTTAAAATACCAGAATGGAGGTATGGGGCAACTTCACTGATCACCTCACAGTCAGCTCTCCTTGAATTCCATGCCTTCTACGAATGCCCTAAGGTGTTACTATGTCCCCGTGTGGGGCTGTGTGATTTCATTATGATTTAAAACTGAGACCATGGGTCACTGGAGATTCTGAAACTCAGAAATGTTGGCAGGCTGGCCTCAGTCCCGAAGCAAAGCCAGAATTCAAAACAAGGTTTGGATACTGACATTGACTCAGCCTCAACGAGGAATGAAATTCTTACATGCTACAACATGGATGAACCCTCAAGACATCATGCCAAGGAAGCCAAACACAAAAAGACAAATATTCCACTTGCATAAGGAGAGTAGGATTGCGCAATTTCACCGAAGTACTAGAATGGAACTTAGCAGGGCCTTGGATGGGAGAGATGGGGACTTGTTGCTTAATAGTTACAGAATTTCTCTTTGAGGATGATGACAGTTTTGGAAATAGTGGTGACTATTATATAACACTGTGAATGCACTGATGTCCCTGAATTGTACACAGACAAAAGAATTAAAATGGTAAATTTTATGTTGTGAATATTTTACCCCAATTAAAAAATAAAAAATAAAAGCAAACAAACAAAAACCAAGCTCTGGCTAGTCTTAAAACCCACATGGATAACTTCTCACTGTCATCCTGTCCCAGTTGACTTCACTACTTCCTGGGTGAGAAGTCAAAGATCATGCCCCATAATCTTCCCAGGTGAGGATTATACTGCTCAGTATAAACGAGTATACTGAATTATGGATTTGTGCATAAATATTTTGAAGTTGGTTTATGTAAATCTTCCCACAAGGGTGTAAAATTAGGTTTTTGGATCTACAACGCTGCAGAGATGATTGAAAACACTGAAGAATTCACTAGTGCAATGGGTGCCACCTTGGGAGCCTTCTGAAGATTGACTTTTGGCTTATTCATGGTAAGATGTCCCTGATTTCACCTGTCACCACAACCTTTTTTATATTGGAACTTCTGCAATAAGATAGCAAGCTTTTTTTTTTTTCCAACTAACAGATCCCTGGGCAGTAGCAACATCACTTGCATAGCTTGATCCTGTCAAATGAACACTATTTCAAAGATTGCATCTGTGTGGATGGATGTTTTTTGCTAAAATATCTGAAAAAAAGTGAACCTTCTTTACTGTGTAGGACAAGTTACCATAGATTGTTTACACTACCTTTATTACTGACAATTCACAAATGGAGAAATAAAGGCTCTCCAGAAAAGCTACATTATGTTTTTCCATTGTCATGGTGACTGTCAACAACCCCGATGGTACCCACTCCCATCAGCGAGAGTGAGACCTGAACTCAACACCTGACAGAGGGCAGTGTGAAAAACAAACCTCCCTGTTCGTGCCCTTAAGACTCTGGGGGTCATTTGTTATCACAGCACAACCTCGCCCAGCCCATCCTAACTCAGGCACTGGAAGGCTGATTTTAAGCCATTTCAGGCATCAACATCTCAATTTCCTGAGCTTACAAACTAAGATAATCTCCCACCTTGACACGATGGTGACTAATGACCTCATTCTGAAAGTTCCTTAAATTCATTTGGAGCAAGTCACTGGATAAGCACAAAGCTCTCTGCTGTGACGTCCTTGGAAGGGATGTTTACAGAATCCTGCTGGTTAGAATTTGCCAATTACTCGTGTTGTAAACATCTGTGGAGCTTTGCAGGCATCGGGCTGGGAGCCAGGCCAGGAAGGTAGCCTGTAGCCCAGTGGAGTCCTAAGGGACACACGGGCAGGAAGTGACCACCATCGTGAGCGAGGCAAGCCCTGACATCTCGGATCAATCAGAAACGGCTTCTTCTGGGTCATTGGTCGTCCTGACCAAGTGAGGTCACTGTGTTTAAGATTGATTTTGTCTCAGCTTGTAATTAACTTCCTTCACTAAACAGTTTCTCTCCCTTTTTCCTTTTCTTTTTCTATCTCAAACTCTTTTTCCACTGTCCTTCTGGGCTTGTAGTCTCATTTCATCTGGAAAATGAAATTTCTTTGCAAATGAATATGCTGTGCCTAGTGGAGCTGCTCACAGAGCTAACTCCTGTCTTTCCAACGCTGATGTTGGAGACCTGTGCTGCTGACTCCACCATCCACACTCATGTGAAGTCCCAAAGGCACTGACTGTTTCCAGGGGACACTGTGCAGGGTTCCGAATTAGGCCCTGTCTACCTCTTGGCCTGCTTCTTCCAGGTGGCAGTAAGCAACTATCATGATTGACATCGCACTTAGCCCTTGTGTGGGGTGTGAGGTGCTCTGGGCATTGCCCAAGAGCCAATGGTCATTTTGGGAACTGGAGGAGGAATTGGTACCCTGGCATCTCTCCCCAGTGTTTCACGGAATACATTTGTTACTGCTTTTACGTGACACCACCACTTTAAACTTGAGAGGTTTCAACTTGACATCCCAGATGAATGACCCTGGGCAAATTATATATCTCTCTGGGCCTGGGTTTTCTCATTTGTAAAATGATGAACTGGATTCAATGCAATGGATATCCTAAGATATTATTCTTCATGCTACTGTTTAATTTATTTCATTCTTTGCCCACACACTACCCAGCCTTCCCCCCCTTCCACCCTATCTCATTTTAAAGCCATTACAACCACCTGGTTCCTCTAGATCTATTAGATCTGGTTCATTAACATATCTTACCTTTCTTACATAAGCTATGTCCCCCTCCTAATGTCTGCAAGCTAAAATACTACTTTATATTACAAAAGATGTGACTGAGGAGGGTCTGTTCCTAAA